TCATATCGCTATTACATGGAGTTACATAGATTGTACAGCACTGAAACAGGCCACCCAGCCCAACTAGTTATACTCCATGGGAGCCTATGCCCCTCATAACCTTGCTCCTAATGGCCTCTATTCCCTTCTCCCTCATCTATGCATCAAATTTCCTCTTAAGAGTATTAATGCTTTCGGCTTCAACAGCAGCATCTGGCAGTGAGTTCCACTTTCTAAACGACCCTCTGTGTAAAGAAGTTCCTCCTAAATTCTCTCTTTTACATTTGCTAGTGGCTATCTTAAGATTTACGGCCCCTCATCTGGGACCCGCCAACAATTGGAAACAGCAATTAGTGAATCACATTGTGAACAGGGGCTGTTTTTGATCTCCTCTTACAATAAAATATAATTTACATTTATATTGTGCCTTTCACGTTGGCAAGTCATCTCAAAGATCTCGACAATCCTAGCTGAGGACCCAAGCTGGTGGGGGTGGGAAGCCAAGAGGAGTGAGGCGGAGAAAAATGCCCGAAGAATAGTCAAAGAGATGGGTCTTGAGACATGCCTTGAAAATTAGGTTTATTTGGTTAACCACATCCTCTTTGCCTATAACAGTAACCTTTTTGTTAAAGAATATACTGCAGTTTCAAAGTTTTCATCTACAGGTGATTTCATATTGTCATGAATAAATGAAAAACGTAATCCATGTGGTGCAAAGGGTGAAATCTGTCTCTGCTCCTAGGTGTAGCAATTTTGGCCCTGTGCCCTGTCGGGGGAAAACTAAGTGTTCAAAGTCATTGTAGTTAACACTGAGTGGAACTTTTGGATAAAGTCTAGCTCTCCTGGATATTAGTCATGTCATGGATGTTCAACTCTGTTTTAGTTTTTCTCCCCTGTCTTTGCTGCTCGCATCCAGCACCAATTTGATCGTGCTATAGACAAGTTACGGGGGAGGAGGGGATTGTTCTGTTTTTTTAATGCGTATGTTACTTTGTAGGCTGCCCAATGAGTTATTTGTAAAGTGACAGGTTGAGGGGGGTGAGGGAGGAAGGATAGTCCTGCACTTTATTTAACACGAAATGCATGACCACTGTCCCAGACCAAAAGCAGTAGAAACATCAGATGAATATTCAGCAAATGGCACTTATTGGCCTCCTAGTCATGTGCATCTGTGCAACGGTCCATTCCTAGACTTCTTTGAACTTCATAGCCTCTGAATGATCCCACATGTTGCTGTCTGAGGCAGATGTCTTGCAGCTGTTTGCTTTCCTCTAATCTTGTGTCAGCAGTCAGTCATTCGGCCTCTGAAGTACAACTTTCACACATTGCTGATTCACTTGCTACGAGATGGCTAAAGTGAATAATTGCCCCCATTTGTAATGTTCACACCGGGAACAGCGAGTCCCAAATGTTATAGCTCGGAAGAGGGTTGCATGGAGAGCAACACTTATGTAAATTCTTCTGAGGAAAAGTGAAATTGAAAAAGCATTGAATTTGCCCAGCTCTGATTTACACACCACGACACTTCCTACAGCCTCGGTTGTAAGACCACTGCTCACGTCTAATTGATTCCTCTGATCTTGCCCCTCGGTCTCCATTTGATGAGCAAACCACAATTTCCTGTTCTCCCCATTCACATACGACTTTCCAGCCAGCCACATTAGCAATCTAGCAATTGAGTTTAAATTGCCCAGTGAATAATTTCCACATACCTGCGTTTCACCCTTTCGTCCTGTCGCATCTATTCCTGCCTGCATTTGTGGGACTGCTGTTACTGTTTAAAGTTTTCACTTGAGCATAAGAATAATTGGAAACACATGGATGACATACTTCATAGATATAAATGCTTATTTCCTTCCAATCCCATCCTAGATTAACACAGTTTTTCGACTGCTCTTATTGCAAGTCAATCTGACAATGAATGAATGAAGTGTTGCCGCAGTGTTTAAATTTTCAGTCTTACCAGGTGCTCAATAACTTTGTGACTCTTCACAATTCAGTTTGGATACTGTTAAGCATGGTGATGGGTTTCCACATGTCAGACACCCGGTCCAACAAAACAACATTCACCTAGTTGAAAGGGGAAGGAATTCAGACACAAAGGAATTTTTTTCGGTGGGCGGGTGGGGGGGGGTGGGAGATTTATATTTTTCCACTCACTGAAGGACAACTGCGCTGATTAAAGAAAATCTAAAATATTAAACCGAAAAACTCGTCTGTCACTTTTTCCCTCTCTGCTGCCCATTTGTATAACTTTCAAAAGTCAGGAAACAAAACGCAAAATACTGCAGATGCTGGAAATCTGAAACAAAAACAGAAGTCGCTGGGAATACTCAGCAGGTCAGACAGCATCTACGGAGAAAGGAAAGTGAGTCAAAGTTTTGGGTCCACAACCCTTCGTCAGAACTCAAAAGTCAGGGTCTTAACTTGTGGTCAAATCTCAATTGATCACCATCCTCTCCTTCCATTGTGTTTTCTCATCCATTGAGCATATGTACTTTTATCAAACCATATGCCCTCAGATTTTGTTGAGGTAAAACCGGTGAGCCACTGATTGATTTACAGGCACAGCTCGGCTGGCTTGGTCCTGGGCACAGTTTGGTCAGGAGTTTGGATTGGAATCCAGTTTCTGAGGCCAATGTACTGAGTTTGTACTTGCAGCTCCCTACAAAAATAAGCTTCAGTAGAAATCTACGATTCAGGGATATTTTTAGATCCCAATTAAAGTGTAACTAGTCCATCAAATAGCTTATTTACTAAATGTGCCAAATAAAGCCGACTCGGATTGACATAAATGTCCCAGCATTGTTTAAGAACAAATAAAATGTTGCATCTGTTTTAACGGTCAATAAATTTTGTATATTAAAAAAATCGCATACCCAATTCAAACAAGACTTTTACCAGGATTTTTCTTAAAACAAGTAAAATAATAAACAACTGTCTTGCCCAGCTTGGTGGAATCTGTTTGGGCTGGGAACACTACAAGAAACCCAATCTAGCAGCCAGGGAAGAACTAAGCGAGTAAGCTGGAGTGTATTTCACTTTGAATGGCAGTAGTCGTTTTGTGTCATAGAATCTTACAGCACAGAAGGAGGACATTCGGCCCATTGTGCCTGTGCCGGCTCTTTAAAAGAGCTATCCTATTAATACCACTCCCCCGCTCTGAGCCCGATAGCCCTGCAAATTTTTCCTTTTCAAGTACACATCCAATTCCCTTTTGAAGGCTACTATTGAATCTGCTTCCCCAATCCTCTCTGGCAGTGCATTCCATATCGTAACAATTCATTGGGGTAAAAAAAATGTGCTTCACGTAATTTTAATATGAAGAACAATTTTGAGTTTATTGTAAAATAATTGCTCAATACATTCTTTATAAAATTACTTGGAAGCTACGGAAACCCATCTTTCACAATTTGACACGTTTATGCCTTCTTCAATTCCTTATGTAGTCTGCTGCAGCTTCAATTCCCCAATGTTTATCTGAGAGGACGAGACTTAGCTCAAGAGGGCTGCATGGTTCCTGGACAACTGTGAATGCTACATAGAAATCCAAATGTGCTTGCAAACAGCATCATGTGGATAAGGGTTTGTTTTTTATAGGAGGCGGACTGACTCGCTTTAAGTCCCTCGTCCCCTCCGCTCCACCATCAGCAGCTGCAACTTTTAGTCATTAAGCACCGAAGCTTCGGAACTCTCTCCCTCAATCCCACCGCCTTGCCCCCTCCTTCCCCTCTTTTAGATCACAACTGAAGAGCTTCCTCTTCAACTGTGCTTATGGTCACTTCCACCCACCCCACCCCCCAGCTCAGCGACAGGCTCCATCATTGCTAAGTGCACCCACAGTCTGCCCCATGTAAAGGACACTATATTGAATGCAAGTTGTTACATTAATAATAATAATGATCATTGCATTTGATATTGCGCCTTATCACGTCTACAAGACATCTCAAAGCGTTTCACAGAATATAATGTAAAGTGCAGTGACTGTATATTTGTGGGCGAAACGTAACAACCAACAACTTTACAATGAGCAATGTGAAGTGAGAGGCATGGACTTCCCCACCCCAGTCTTCAGATCAACGGACACCAGAGGCATTAATACCAAAGTTTGGCATGCTTGAAAGAAACCAAGATGGGAGCAGCAGGTAAAGGATAAAGCAATAAAAATGGGAGGGAGAAAGCACCAGATAAATAGTGTGAAGTTACAAATGTTCAAGCTAAGAATTGAAACTTTTCCAATCACAATCATGTGAGAACACACAGAGACAAAATGTAAAACGTCTTTCACTATTTCCCTTCAAAAAAATAATAATTTGGTCACTCAATCCACGACTGTTTGTGGACACTGCTGTGCGCAATTAGCTGCTGTGTTTCGTCCACAAAAAATATATACAGTCAATCCACTTTATTGTATATTCTGTGAAGCGCTTTGAGATGTCTCGAAAATGTGATAAGGCGCTATATGACATGCAAGTATTATTTCCACATTCAGTATGTGTGTGCGAGCCTGCGTGTATTTACACTCGGGAAATGGATGTGTGTACACATAGGAAATAAAACGCACTGAACAGAGCCAGGAAACACAGGTAAATGATGTGTGATGTACAAGAAATGTCTGATCATTGATGGGATCGCTGTCTCTTGCACTTTATAGATGTTGGATTCTATCCTGCTCCAATTGGGATGAGTTGTTCTTGTCCAGTTTACTCCAAATGCACTTTCTCATGCTAAGAGACTTGACAATTTTCATTTCCTTCAATCAAGATCTGGCTAAACATTTTGGAAACCTTCTGTTGTAAATTATGGAGAGAGAGAGAGAGAGGATGAAGTTCTATTTATTTTGTTTCCCTCGTGTGTTCAAGCTCAATTTTGTCCATAATCGTTGGTTGAGGCTGAGAGATTTGCTAGTCAAGTATTGTGAGAGAGTTGTTGTTACTCCAGTGCTGGCAGAGAGGTGGATGTCTAGGACCTTTGCAATGAAGTCAACCAGATTATAGTCAATGAAACATACAAAGTCACCATCATTCTATTACATTTTTATTAGTAAATCAGTAATGCACCATGTTGGAAAATCAAATGCATTTTTATCGGTAATGGAAAGAAGGCAGAAGGTTGAATATTTTTGTAAGCTTTGATATCTACAAGACATTGCTGCCATTTAGCCGTTTTGAGTCCAGTTCTTTTCTTCGAGGAATCATTTTCCTCCCTCTTTCCCCCCCCCCACCCCCACGCACACACTAATCTTACTGTCTTTGTTCCATAGGCGTGACTAAAATTTAGCATTAAAGAATCAATGAATGAATGAAAAACCTTTTGATTATAGAAATGAACACCGACACATACATTGTATGTGATTAAGAACAAGGGTAACACTAAATGCCACCGACGCAGTGATGCAACCAACTGTACATCAGAACTGTACAATTAAATATCTCCTCAAGTTTTGTTCTGTCCAAACCACTAAGGTTTAACCTTTTTTTAAAAAAATCAGTAGCTGTTTAGAAACTTGCATCTTTCTTCTATAATCGATCTATAATGGTATACATTTTTTAAAAAAAAGTGCAAACTTTTGGCGACACTTCTTGCGTTCAGATTATTGCCATTTTTTTTTTGTCGTGCCTGCTTACAGAGCACTGGTTCTCTCCACTCAAGGTTCCCTCCTCTACTTCACACCAAGCGTCCTACTGCAAACCAAGAGAAATAAGAATCCATTAGTATTCGCCCTCGCAGAAACCAAACACTCAGGATGCTTTGCTGTTCTCCTTTTACAGCTTGGAGGGAGGAAAGGGGGAGGGCGGATGGATGGGAGGTGGGGAGGGCGGGGGCTGGACCCGGGGGGCAGTCTTGTTCGTCGCAAAGTGTAGTGATTTGTTAAGCTTCCTTGACAATAATAATAAAGTAATCTTTTGATACAGAGCCTTTCACATCGGGAGGACATTTCAAAGTGCGACACAGGATATGCTGTAAAGCATAGTGACTGTGTACTCTTGTGGGTGATCCTTTGTACAAAATTTATATTGAATTACGAAGTAATCAGATGTAGGTTCTGAAGCTTCAGAGGTTTGAAGGATATGGGGGAAAGCAAACAGATGGGGTTTTCAATCATGCAACTGCAAACATATCCAAAGTCTGTGAGGCAGCATTATGAGTGAAGTGTGAAAAAATTGTCCATTTCCTGGTCGTGGGGACGTCACTGACTTCATTTCCTGTGCGCTGCGTGTGCACATGTTATTCCCAGGAATTGCTGCTGACATCACTTTGTTCACAAAGCACACGGGAAGTGATGTCAGTATAACTGGGTTCCCCTGTACTTGCCAGTCAGTTACTGCTGAATCACCATCCCTCCAACCGATAAGAGTTGCTGTTCAATGAGTTAGATGTATTTAAGGGAAAGTAGATGTATTTAAGGGAAAGCTAGAGAGGTACATGAGCGAGAAAGGAATAGAAGGTTATGCTTGAAGACTTAATTGAGGAAGGGCAGGAGGAGGCTTATGTAGAGCATAAACACCGGCATAGACCAGTTGGGCCGAATGGCCTGTTTCTGTGCTGTATATTCTAATGTAAAATAATAGTAATCCTTGCATTTGATATAGCGCCTTATCACATCTTCTAAATGTCTCAAAATGCTTCACAGAATATACTGTAAACTGAATTGACTGTATATTTTGTGAGCGAAACCCGGCAGCCAATTGCGCACAGCAGTGTCCCACAAACAGTCGTGTATTGAGTGACCATTCATTATTTTTATTTATTTGAAGGGATTATTATTTTTGCTTTGGAAGTTGCGGGTTAGAGCTCGATCCTGGAAACCTGACTGTAAACCTATCGATTAGTTTAACCAAAGATGAACTCTAGTGGATGGTGAAGGTCCCATTGCACTAAGTGAGCAGAGTAGAGAGGTAACCCACTGTGTGTTGACGAATACCCCTCCCAGGGCCTCGGTGTAAATGAGATGTGATCTTAAGCCTAGTTAAATGGTTAAATATTCTCTGGCAATTTGTGAACAGCAGCAGATCATTGACCCAGTCCAGGAAATTCCTAGAATGAAGCCAGTGCTTGCATTTATTTTTTTCGCTTGAAACAATGTTTTGATACAGCCGGCAAAGCAGTCCGTCCCCTGTGGAAGGTGGCCTCAGCATGTTAGTAGCTGAAAAACTGGTAGCAGAGCTGGCATTTTGTGAAAAGTGTATTTTGACAGCGATCAGATTGCATCCAGATGTTTCAGTAAAGGTGAACTTCTGGGAAATTTTCTGTAATGAGTAAATTGTACCCCATAGAAACAAGCGTAGAATAGTTTTCTAATTTATGCCATACTTTCCCCTTAGACAATGGCAGCTGAGCTTAATAAAATCAACATGCGATGAATAAAACATCTTGTCACAAGCAACTATTTTCATGTGTTAAGTTCCCTGGACACCTGATCCTACAGTGACTGTGGAGCAGATTAATAGCCATAATGTGGTTTAATTTAATAGCATTAACACGGTGTTTTACGATTCACAAAATGCTGACATTTGTGAAATGAGTACAAACTATTTCCGTTTAAACAATATTGAGGTTGGCGATATTAGGAGCATATTTCTTCACGCTGAACACAACGTGCTTCTAGTTAGTGCACCCAACTTGATTTGTGACGACTGCAAAATGATGCGTACAGCTTTAAAATAACCTTGAACAGTAATCTGCCTGGCTTCCATCCAGGGGCCAGTTGAGCTGCCTGAGGTGGCACTGCTCGCCCAGGTTTCAAATGGATTAGCCGCTCAGGGACACTACCCCGCGTGAAGGGCGCTGTATAAATACAAGTTGTTGCTGCTGTTGTTGAATTCATCTGAAGTTGAACCTGAATTGAGCTTAGTGCTTCCTCCATTTGTTTGTTAAACTCCAGCTGTGCGGGTTTGGAACTTCACTTCACCCACTTGTTTGACCCTGAATAAGTCTCTCGCTTCCTCCACTGTGTACCCGAGTTCCATGCTTGTGATTCTTTGATCTAAGCAGAGTTACAGCTAAGCACCTTCTCCAAAGGTCTGGATTTGTCTTCATTCACCACAACCCCAACTATTGAGTGATTTTAAATGTCTGACTTGGTTAGGTTCTGCCTTTCCAAATATCAACCAATATCACACAGCAACAGTCATCATCCTCAACTCATCTTCACTTCCATGGCTCATTGGTCATATAGATTCAGTTATGTATAGTGTCGCTTGCCAATCATCAAAGGCTGGAAACCCCTTTACAAGCTGTTCAATGAGTTACCTGGGATGCTCTCAACCTTCACCCAGCTCTCCTCCCAATGCTTAATCATTTGATGAAATTAAACAGAAATATTTAATAAGACTATTATTCAGTGATTCAGTGAGTTAGAGTTAGTTCCATATTGAAACCAGGCAAAGATACCATTGAAGCACCAGGTGACTGCCAAATGCTTTAAAGGAGCTCTGTCTTAAACTGCCGCTAATTGAGGTCTTTTTTTTAACTGAAGCAATTGCAGAAGTGTTTAACCTTGGCTTTTTCCAACAGCTGGATTCAATTTTAAAATGTTGTAATTTTTTTCCCCCCTCAAATTTATAGTTTTGAGTACTTTTGTTTCCCTCGCCAGGGTGATGGATGTCAGTGCTGAGCAGTGGAACCTCTTTCATATACTTCTGCAACCAATGCCAGATTGAGCTCTAGGTCACATATACTATACCTAAAGCATAGAGTGAAACAACCCTGTCGAAGCTTCAGAGGAGCCCCCTTACTACACAAGTCTAATATCTGGGAGAGCATTGCCACTGTATTCCTGCCCACAACTTGTACACGTATCCCTGCCCTGGGTTCCACAGTTGGAGATAGGAAGCTAGAGCAGCAGATTCTTACCTCTCTACATTCTATTAAGTTGGATACCAAGCCATGGATATGAGCATGTGTTCAGGAACATGGACACCAGGTAATGCCTTCCAATAGCTATCATTCCCAAGCCTCAGAGTTTCCTCATCAGCTTTCAACAGAACCCTGACATCAATATGTTGGAAGAAAAGAAAACTGGATGGACAACTTATAAAGCGACAACCATTTTGAGGTCCACTGCAGGCAATCATTTGCTGCTTCAGTGATATCTCTGCCTGTTTCAACATGGAACTAACTCATGAAATCACTGAGTAATAGCCTTATTAAATATTTCTGCAGGTCTAGGAGCTCGGAACCATGCAAGTAAAGTCCTAGACTGCTCACTCTATACTGACACTTCAGTACATTGCTTGGGGGAGTGTTGGGTTGTTGGAAATGCTGTCCTTTGTTTGAGATGTTTAACCAAAGTCACGTCTACTTGTTCAAAGATCCCATGACACGATTCAAAAAGAGTAGGGAGTTTACTGGACAACAATGCTCCAGACAAACCGGTCACTTAGTTCACAGCTGCTTGCAGAACCCTATGTGCGAAACGTAGCTGCTTATTTACTTAAACACAGTCGCTACACTTGTCAGAAATTATCTGTGAAGTTTTGAGCTTACGGGTGCTCTATCATGTGTAAAGATTATTATACAAACATAATTCAGACATCAAATTACCTTGGGCAAGTTTCCTTACTCCACACGCCTAATAATAATCCCTCCAACAAAAAAACAATAATAAATTGGTCATTTTCAATCTACGACTGTTCTGTGGACCATTGCTGTGCGCAATTGGCTGCCGCGTTCGCCCACAAATATACAGTCAATTCACTTTACAGTCTATTCTGTGAAGCGCTTTGGGACGTCCTCCCGACGTGAAAAGCGCTATATCAAATGCAAGGATTATTATTATTATTATTATTATTAAGGTGGTTCCAGGTGAAACTTGTTACAAGTCAAATATGTACCTGTCCAATCTGCTGTTTAAATGGCCTCAGCCAAGCTTGGTAATTCCATGCTGAGTTGCCAAGGGTCATCCCAGACATTTAAAAGTCCTTCCCAAGTTTTCAGCAAGCCGTAACTATGCGAGCCTAAGTCAATGCATATTTTAGAAAGAGGCAGAGGCAGTATGGACACGATAGGCAGAATGGCCTTCTTCTGTCCTGTAAGTTTATATCGTTCTACAATAATAGATATTTTTCCCCCATCATTTTGATAAACATGATTTGTAATTCAAATAGGGAGGGGTCAGGGGTGGGGGGGGAAGAAGAATACTGACCCAAGATTAACTGAAATGTCAAGGCTGCAAATTAGTAGATTATTTACAATGCTTGATTAAAATCAACCCAATGTGACCCAGTTCTTTGAAATGGTTTTGCGGCCATTTTGTTAATGCACTTGTTATCCTCTTTTGTTGTACTGGGCAGTGATTGCTGGGTTGCAAGCCAAAAATGTTGCAAACCCATAATGCGTATTGAACATAATTGTGGTGGTGTTGGGGTGCGGGGGAAGGCAAGAGAATAATGGTCTAGGATATGAGAAGACAGGAATAATGTGGTGTTGAGTCTAAATGTACTGCCGGAACTTCAAGGTAATTATGTTTTTTAAAAAAACCTGCACAATATTTACTAAAATTGCAAGTGACCCTGCAGATTGTGATACAATCGATCATTTCGTATCAACAAAGAGAATTTGGTCCCATGTTCCATGTTTCAAAAGCAAACCTGCAGGACCACCTGCTATACAGCTGTGTTGGTTCAGGAGTATAACAGCCGACAGAAGCAGGTTTGTGTTTGTTCATTCGCTGACTCGTTCTGAGTTCACTGATAAATAAACAGCTGGGCGTTCGCCCACAGTCACTATACTTTATAGTGTATCCTGGAAGCGTGTTAAGTCGTTGTCCTGACCTGAAGCTATAACAAATATAAGGATTATTGTAAGTTTTATGATTAAGAAGACTGGTGTTTGTGCCTATTGCACTTGGTGAAGATAGGCTCAAAAAAGGAGCAGTTTCATTCTGTTGTGTAAATTCATGCGGTGGACAGGATTATACATTTTGGACGGAGAGCTTCATTTAAATCACCTTTAGCGGTAATCCCACTCGGTTCTGTTTAGCGAAGGGATGTGACAGGCAGCTGCGGAGTTCTGCCACCAGGTGGCACTGAGCTGCATTTACACTGGAGCACAGTTACCGCTCTCCAGTGTACTTACGGGCATCTCAGGAAAAGGGGTGATTTTGCCCATTTTATACGAGGTGGGGGTTGATGCTCATTCACAGATGAGAGCAGGAATTCTGCAGCTTTCAGTATGTTATGAGGCCGCTTGTCAAAACGTTACTGGTACCAGTTTCAGAATCTGAACAATGGCAAAATTCAGGAAACATGCCATGGATTTTGAATACAATAAAACTTGCATAAGTCACATCAGTTAGGGCCATAACATTTCATATGTCCTGCATAAAGTATGAGTTATAGGCAAACTTGCATAAGTCATATAATGTACGACTTAATCAATAATCTACACTGCACGTGCATACTTCTATGCAGCCTATAAGTGCACATGCGTTGACAGGTCAAGATTTCTTTTCCTGCAATTCAATGCAGCCAGGAAGAGCAGTAGAGGCATTACGAGTTGGGAGATGACCTGTATAGGATTTATGATGGATTTGGGACCAAGAAAGAGTTACGATTTAGCCGTTTATCCGATTTATAAAACACGACTAGTGCAAAGAAATAGAGCAGGTTTTGGCAGGAAACTGAATGGGAATCGGGTGCATGTATGACTTAGGCGATTATATGATTTATAAAGATAAGACTCATGTGAGTTTTACTCTATCTCATTGTCAGCTGATTATGAAAACTAATAGCTTGCTGCCTTGATGTCAAACACACAATCTTCAAGAGGAAACTCCTCAATGGTTCTGTGCCATTCATCACATGGAAAATGTTACAACTGTCTGCCTGTCCTGTTAAAGATCCCACAGCGCTTTTCGAAAAGAGAAGGGAGCGTCTCTCAGTGTCCTGGGCAACAACCCCCCAGATAAAATTGATCACTCACTCCATGGCTGTTTGTGGGACGCCGCTGTGTCCAATTTGGCTGCTGCATTCACCCACAAAATACAGTTACTGCACTTAACAGTATCCTATGAAGTACTTTGAGATGTCTCGATGACTTTAAGGCGCTATATCAAATGCAACGATTATTATTATTATGTCTCTTGAACCACTGGGCCTCAACCCCTTCACTGGTGAGGGGGAAGGCTATTACACAGATCGCAGATTCCCCTCTCTGTTCAGGTCCTCTGTGAAAAGCATTTGTCCAGTTTGAACTCAGTTTCTAGTCATTTCCAATAGTCATTAACTTTGCAATAGCACTAGGAGCGACTGCAGAATGGTTACATCCTTCTGTGAATGGGGTTGTGGAATATTACTGAGGCCAATGAGAAGGAATGTTTGCATATAATGATGCAAAATCTGAAATGGGAATGTGTTCATTAACGTCCATGGGTTACAGTTGTCTCTCACTTTAAGGAACACAAAATTGACCCTCCCGAAAAAAAATATTTTGTACTTGCTATACATTAACTTTGACTTGAAAGACGCTATACAAATGTAATTTGTTGTTGGTGCAGATTGGGTCGGTCAAATGGCCTTCTGTCCTCTAAATTTCTATGATCCTGCCACTTAAGAACAACAAAACCTACAACTGGTCTCAATCCGTAAACGCAAAGTAAGGTAAACTCACAAGTAGAGGTCACTTGAACTGCTCCATTTCCATATTGCATCAAAGAGGTGAAAGGAATTTCCTTGTGAGAACAAGTGTATGTAAAGCTAAACCTTTACATTGAAAATCAAAGGGATCTTCAATAGGCAGGTTCTTAGCCACAGAGGTTACTTTTTCCCCTAATGTAGCACTGTGCTACAATGATAATTGAGACAACGCTTGAGAGTATTTTATGGGACACTATCAATGTCCATCTAGAGAGAGTAAATGCCATAAGGGCAAGCTAACACAGTGTTAGAAACAGTGTGTCATGCCTCACCAATCTATTGAAATTCTTGCAGAATGCAACTAGATCAGTGAACAAGTGAGGACACATACTTTGACTTCTCAGAAGGTTGATACAAATTCAGGGTCTGCAGCATTAGTTTTTTTGCAAAAACTAAACGTGGGTGGAATTGATGATGCATTTGTTTAGCAATAGAAAATACAGGTCGATGGGGGGGGGGCTTTGTGTGGGCAGTGGTTTCAGCGAAATGCTCCAGTGGCAACTGTTACTCGAACTATTCATTCCGGAGGATGTTTTGCACAATATTACAGATGTGTTGATGACACTAAGCTACATGGCCAAATGACCTGTGGTGAGGGAGGGGGGATAACATTCACAACAATTTGAACAAGTTATGTATGTATACATGTTACGAAATGGCAGATGGAATTTCATGTGGAGAAATGTGAGGTAATGCACGTTGGAACAGGAAATGTGAAACATGTGAACAGAATGGTTGGGTGGCTATTGGCAAAGCTGGAAAAGGATTTGGACGTGATCACTGACCATCAACCATTCAGATAAATCAAGTGCTCTTTTGAGGAGTCAGAGTAAATTATTTTGCCACTGTAAAAGCTCAATGGTAACATCGTGTTTGGTATATCGTGCGTAATTGTGGAAACTTTGCTTTTATAAAAGAGTTGGAATCAACCCTCCACAGTCTTGAGAGCCTCACTGTCTAACCTCAAGAGTAAAGCTGGCCATTCATCAAACTAAATCCAGTTATATTTCATACCTTTGCGTACAACTAAATACAGCCTGACCTTTTCATAAAATTTCAGTGTGTGTTGGGGTGAGAGTGGTGATGAAAAGAGGAAATATATGAAAGCTGACAGACTCAAACACTGCACAGGTATTCCTTGGTAATCTGATCCAAAGTGCTATTTGGGGGAGGAGGAGGAAATCAGTCTAACTGGTCTAGTTTAGGAGTGTGCCTTGCACCATTCTCCAGGTACACCCGTCAATCACCCCATCCTGCGGGTCTGCGATCCCAACCAGTGAAAGCCGCAAGTAGCGAGAGAAGCAGAGCCTTACTGAAAGGGTTCGCTCCTGTTCGTCTTCCATTTGAGAGGCCGCCCATGCTGCTACCTGTGGACAGGAGGGCGAGAGAGGAAGGTTACAAAGCAGGATTTTTGGTACATTTTGGCCAATCTGTGGTTGTCTATGCAGACATCAACCATGAAGAACAGTGGCAGAATAGCTGACTACATTTGATTTGAACATCCCTACCTTTCTGACCTCTCTCTCCCCACTTTGCTACCCGCTTGCCTCTGCTTGGCTGGCTCTGGCCTCCTGCTTGTCCCTTGTCCCCTCCGCGCTTTCGGCCACTACTCCCCGAAGCTTTGGAACTCTCTCCTTCAATCCCTCTATCTTTCCCCTTTTCCCCCTCTTTTAGAACATAACTGAAGAACTTCCTCTTCGACTGTGCTTACAGTCACCTCCTGCTTCTCCCCCCAGCTAAGTGTCAGACTTTGCCACTATTAAGCTCTCCGAAACACTGCCCTGCTTGAAGGCTGCCATATAAATGCAAGTTGTTGTTGAGTTATTTAACCGTTGTATGTACGGGATGTAAAGGAGGGGGCTCTTATCAGTCGTCTTTCCCTGACTGACTCTTGTTTTTCATGCATTTTTTCTTTAAATTCATGTTTTTTTACATTTAAACTAATCCATGTGGTTTAGAAATGGTAATTTTGCAAGGGCAGACGAACAACAGACCATAAAATCTTGCCCAGCGGTATTATTCAGAACTATGTTTCAAACTCACTCGGGCCAATACAATTTGTAACCCCAAAACCCTAAAACTTATTTGGATCAATGGAAAGTGTTCTGGTGTTTTGTGCACTTGAACAAAAATAAATCCTTGAATTCAGTATAGCGTCTTTCATGTCAGGAAGATGCCCCAAAGCTGTACTTTAAAGTGTAGTGACTGTGTGTTTTGTAGTTGAACGTGGCAGCCAATTTGTTCACAGCAATGTCCCACAAACAGCCATGGAGTGAATAATCAATTTTATTTGGGGTATTGTTGGCCAGGACTCTGGGAGAAACTCCCTTCTCTTTTTGAATAGTTCCATTGGATCTTTAGCATCCCCCTGGATAGAACCTCGAATTTAACACCTCAACCGAAGGACGGCACCTCTGACAATGCAGGACACACCCAGCACTGCAATAAAGAACAGAATTATGCACATAGCTATATAAACCTAGGTGCATAATTCTGCACCTTGCTAGCTATAAACACATGATTGATTGCATGGTCTGTGTTGAGTTAGCTCATCACGGTTGACATGCTGGTATGGCTATGACGATAGGCCAGTAACCTGTACTGGAAAGTGTGGGTGTGTGCACATTGAGTGAGGGCAGGCTTGGCCTTGATGTATAGTTTTGAATAGGCTGCTGTCACTCCTGGTCTAGACTTGCCTATGACAAATAGTCATTTGGGTGAGGTGGTGGAGAGCTCTGGGTGTCAGTGGAAACTCACTGACAGCATGAGTCAGCACCATCGGGAGATATACGTGTTTTGGGATTTTGAGATTCAGTTCAGATCAAAGGGCCAGTAACACTGTTTGCCAGCTGTGTATTTGTAGTTTTATAATGATCCTGACATTGATATAACATCCATGTGTTCGTGTATTTGCTTGTCTACAAATAGTCAATCACTATACTTCATCCTGTGGGATGCTTTGAGACATCTCAATGAAGCGATAACTTGCTATATCAAATTGCAAGGATTAATATTGGCATTCACCTGTGTTTGCACCAATGTGGCTTTTCACTACCAGCAACTAAATAATCCTTTGTAGCAACCATTTTTGTGGCCTCTGGGATAGAGATGCAATAACAACTTTCAAAAGGGAATTAGCTAGATCCTTGAAAAAGAAACATTTACAGGGGTATGGGGAAAGAGTGGGGGAGTGGGACTGATTGGGTAGCTCTTCCAAAGAGCCGGCACAGGCACAATGGCTGAATGGCCTCCTTCTGAGCTGTAATATTCTATGATTCTACATTACAAATTCTTCCTCACCGTGGAGCTTTCTGCAGGAGCATCTAAAGGACCCTGGGCTTGATCTGTTGCTGTGGTCAAGATTTCTTTACTTCACTGTCCAGCACACCAACTGCATCCAACAGCACGGACGTAATTTTGACTAAGCCCTAAGGAACAACTTCATTCAAACCTGATCACTTTATTCAAAATTGGGGTGAAAGAGAGTTCCTGAATCTTTCTGAACTAAATCCATGTTTTACTGCATGATGGTTTGACCTGCCAAATTTGAGTATTAGTGTGAGATATAATTGGCAGCACATCCCCTTAAGAACTTAAAGCCAAACCTATGTCTGCACTAATGTTCATCTCTTCAATAAAAAATCCAAGAGCTCTTTTATAGAGAGGGGGGGGGAATTAATTTGAAACACATTGTACAAATTGGTCCAGATTCCACCACATCATGTAATGTTTCTTGGTGGCTATATGAAAAATAAATGTTGTTTTATTTTATTGTCCATTTATTGCTCCTGACTTTCATCCAACCAACTCTTTAATCAGACTACAGATGTCAATGAGTTCAGAATGATTTTCACTAAAGCACCTTTTCACAAAACGCTTGGGACCCCTTGATCTTTGCTTCTGTTGGGTACTGGAAGGGGCACAGATGAAAGGGAGGAAAAGTGGTTGATTTACATACAATTCTACAAACATCAAACCTAACTCAAGCAGCAGTTTTTCATGGTGGAGCTTGGACCGCAGGTAGAGGGCAGGCTATTCATTCGTGGTTGAGCCTGATCTCTTTCCCCGCACGATATCATCTTCCAGCCAAAGGAAACGCTGGATGGTGTTCAAGTCTTTCCCCCCTCCTCCCTACCCCAAAGACAGAGAGGTCAATTTTGGAGTGCTCATTGCTGCCCTGCCTCAGATCAACTAGCTCAGTACAGCTCCTCTTTTTAGGGGTGGGGTGGAGGGATTGATGGTAGATTTACAATCTGAACTGTTAGATGGCTGTGCCATTGAGTATTGATTTCTGTCTTTAAATAAATTGGAAGGAAAAGATATTTTAGATCTGAATTAAATTTGATCTCAAACAATAACTACTATTTATACGTTGTATCTGTCCAAAGCAATTGGACAGATACATGGTGACTGGAACATCATGGGAGATGGACATCATTGCATAATCCTTGCATTTGACATAGCGTCTTATCACAACTTCGAGACATCTAAAAACGTTTCACAGAATATACTGTAAAGTGAAATGACTATATTTTGTAGGCAAAACGCAGCAGCTAATTGCACACAGCAGTGTCCCACAAACAACCGTGGATTATGTGACCACATTTTTTTAAGGTATTATTACCAATTTAATGATGGATAAGCATCTATTTTTCTTAATGCTCTGTTAATGCTCTGTTAATGTCAGGTGTCTAATCTGTTTGTGACTTAACAATTTTTATCAACTAATTTATTTTGTGAATATTTGTACTCTTGGGTGAGGAGTATTAATGTGTGTCAATGGGGATATGTGTTAACTACAAGATTTGAATGCCTCTCCTCTTTCCATCTCTTCATTAGTGCAAATATTTCAACTTCCCACACCAGCCATTCATTTGGCCTTTAATAAGAATTGCCAATTTAATGTTGAATTATGCCCAGTTCTGCGTTCATTAGGAACTAGGCTGCAAATATTTGAATGGGTTTGACACAGGACCCTTTATAGTCAATCCACTTTGTGCCCTGCTCCTAATTGCCAAAGAGAGACATAAGGGTCAGAAGCAAACTTGCCATTGATGCACAGACACCAGGTGGCATTTTTTACTCTGTCCGAAAAATGACTATGATTCTGAGGTTTGTTCTCATGATGCGCCTTTAAAAACCTCAGTAACTACTCCCTCGAAATCATGAGAAACAGACTGAACCGCAGACTAAAATAGACACTTCAATGTCTGCTTTAGATTCTTAGAAATGTACAGGCAGCCCATCCAAAAGCTACATTTCACAAGTTTAGCTGGTGTACAAGAGAAATGGGAGATGACAGAGTTGTCAATCCAGGAAGGGCAATACCTTGTCTTTCACCATAGCTTGTAGATGTATGGAAGAAAGCTGGAGAGTTGTATGCACTTTAAAGAAAATAAATGCCTTTGTATTTCTTTCAGTGCAAAATATTTTCCTTCCCAATTCCTCCCCCTCCCACCATTTACATCTTTGGCAGCAATGAACCTCCTACTAAATATCTTTCAATTAGAAATGTCATTTCACTCCACCCTTTTGGACTCTGTTGCACTCAAAGTTGCTTTAACTTATGGATGGGAAATAGTGGAGGTATTAAAAGCGGTTATCACAGTCCGCCCGAATCCACATTATATAGTTCAACGTACTTCTAAAATATTTATAAGGTAGAATCCGCAGGTCTGTGTTGACAAAGATCAAGAGATCTCAACAAACATAAGGCCAGCAGCCACCTACCTCCTTCTTTTACTCCTAAGCATCCTTTCAGCTCGTTCAGTGAAATGGTCTTGTCCTCATTCAAGTCGCAGTAATCCGTGAATTTTCGGCCGCATTTCTTTGGCTTGGCTTTCTTTCTCAAGAAGCGTTTAAATGGCTTCATTTCCTTTTTGTTGACACTGTTGCTGCCATTTTTGTCCAGCTGACCAAAGTACCAGTGCACGACCCGCTCCTCCAGTGTGTGGCTTGGATCAGGTTCAGGAAATCTGCACCAACAACAAGGGCCGTCAGTTCTGAATCACAGTTGGCACAATGAAGGAGGCCAGCTGAGACACATTGCGAGTTACTTGATTACTTTTAGCTGACTGGCAGCAACAAAGAGCCTTTACATCATTTAATAGCTCTTTTACGGTTTCAGCTTCACTCACCCACACGCAAACAAAAAATATATAACAAGCACCACAATAAAGAATGACGTGCCATGGCCAACCAGCTATTGGAAAGAGTTAAACCGCAGCAATGTGTGTTTGCAACGCGAGGCGAGGCTGGGGAGCGGTTTTATAGGTTACAAACTCCTTGGCAAGTGAGGACAATTGTTTATGTGAAAATGGGACTGAATAAAAGCTTCATACGGCAAAAACTGTCAACTGTCAACTTGAACTTGTAATTTGAGGGAATAAACCCATTAAAAAAAGGCACACACCTCAAGGTGAGGACACGAGCAGCGAGGGAAAGGCAGTGTTGTGACGGTCCACTAGTGGTAACCGATATTTGAGATGGAAGAGTAACGTTTTGCCAGATGGTGAGTTTCTTTTTATTATCTGCCCCAAGCTTAAGGGTACTTCATCCCACTAAACGCAGTTCGGGTCTGAAATGCTGTACACTGCCTTGGGACGTCCTCCCGACGTGAAAAGCGCTATACAAATGTAATCTTGTTGTTGTAAACACTTGGTCCCATTTGCTTTTGACCCAGCAATGTACCTCTTGCCTACTCTCAAAGCACCTCGTAGTTATTTCATCAATTCCCATTTCTTATGTCACTGGAATTTGTGTCATCTTTGTATTTGTTATAGCACCTTATCATTGAGACATTTCAAAGTGCTTCACAGCATTTTGCTGTTCATCTGGAGGCAAACACAGCAGCCAATTTATGTACAGTGGTATCCCATAAAGTGAATGAACAGTTTTATCTGGGGCAATTGTTGACCAGGACACTAGGAGAAACTAACTCCCTTCTCTTTTCGAATAGTGCCACCTTTAAAATGCACCTGAAAAGCCAGAAGGAATCCCGGTTTAACATCTCCTCCGACATTGCATCAAATTGTCTCAAAGTGTTTTGCACCACCAATTACTTTTGTAATTTGTATTTCCACAGAAGTCCCACAAATGCTAACAAAGGTAAATGGCCAAATCAATCTAAGGTCTCTTTTTGGTGGACTTGGTTGAGGGACCAATATTAAGGGCCCTCTCTGCAAAATAACCCTGTTGCAATTTCAACATCAGGTTGATGGGACCTGAGCTCAAAGGCTTGTCTGTTGCTTTATTTTGAGGTCTTGCAACATTACGAATCCATAAAGAATTAATTGCTATCAACATCTCCATTCTTGCAGCATGTGACTATCAGCATGGTAGAATGCGAACTAGATGGACCTTGGACTTTTTTCATCTAGCAATTCCTATTCTCTCTCACAATGTGAGGTTAATTCTAAATTGTCTTTAGTCTCCTAAAATTATTTGAGTCTGACAGGCAGGGAGATACCTGGAGCACATTTTAGAGTGCCAATAGCAGGCAGCATGATATTGAGTAATAATAATCTTTGCTTTTGATCTGGAGTCTTTCACATCAGGAGGACATCTCAAAGAGCTTCACAGGTTTACTGTAGGTGAATGCAGGTGAGTAAACAATTTGTACCCTACAATGTCACACAAACAGCCGTAAAGTGAATGACCAATTTTATCTGAAGAAGTATTGATCAGGATACCAGCACAAAATTTCCTTCTCTTTTCAAATAGTGCCATGGGATCTTTAATGTCCACCTGAACAGGCAAATGGTACCTCATATTAACAACTCATCCGAAGGACTGCAACTCGACAAAGCATTGCTCCTCTAACGTTGCGAGGTCGGAGTCCCAACGTGGGGCTTGAACCCACAACCTTCTTATTCCAAGGCAAGAGTGCTACCAACTGTGCCACGCTGACATCAATAAAGTGGAACCCTCAACATACAAAACCACCAAGGAACTGTAATGTTTCAAATCATTTCCGTTCTATTAAAACACACTGCTTCTGAACCAAAGCAACACAACTTTCATAACCCTCCATCAGTGGACAGAAAGTCATGTGCTGATTTGTGCGCATTTAAAAACTTTACATGGAATTCTCAGTCCGGTTTGGATACCCTTAAGCACAGTGATAGGTTTCCATATGTGTTAGACACCCAGTTGACCCCCCAAAAATGCTACTTTGCCATTGCAAGTAGCTTATTGCTCCCAAAATACGCAGTCAATTAACTTTACATTATATTCTGTAAAATGCTTTGAGATGGCTCAATGACGTGATAAGGCGCTATATCAAATGCAAGGATTATTATTATTGCAACAGACAGAATGTCACCGCAGGTCGCGGGAGGGAAGGCGCTATGTTTCGGAGCTTGATGAGAGCCTGTTTTCCCAAATTAGCGTTGGTGAGTAGCCGTTCTTCTCTTTCCAATGTTTTTTTAAAAAAATTATATTTCTAACAAAATCCAGACCTTCTCCCTTGACAGAGTCTGCAGACAGCTTGTCTGCATATCAACGAGTTAGAAGTCCCTGCTTCAGCCTCTTAGTGCAGATAACGTTCGAGAAAATCAAAGAGACACAACGCCCGAGAGTTCCTCTCATGGATCACTTTATACGCAATCAGGATGAGGGTTGAACAATCCACACAGGAAGCGAGGGGAGGGGAGGTGTGGGGGAACCCAAACTTTAGATTTTTCTCTCCACAAATATTTCTCCCCCTGGTTTTCCCTCATTTTCTCCTTTATCTTTCTACTATTTGTAAAGAAGGGAGCGTCTCCTGGTATCCTGGACAACTGTTCCCTAAATAAAACCGATTATTCACTTTGTAGGATGTTGTGCTGTGCAGATTGACAGCCGCGGTTGCACACTGCACTCTATAGTTACTGTGAAGCACTCTAGAGCATCTTCCTGACGTGCAAGGATTATTATTTACTAGAGTACAGTATGGCACCATTGCAGACATCATTGCATCCAGCTAGAGGTTTAGTTACTAAGTTGTAGTTACATGCTTAAATTTCTACCCATTTGTGAATAAAGTCAGAAGGTTTGGATGCTGTGGTACAAGTACGTTTACAATGTGCATAGTCTGACCATTGCATCATTTGATTTGACAACCATTTAAGGACAGTAATATAGACCATGTCCAGTTTCTGCATGTTTGGTTAGTGATTCAACATTAAAATCAATTTCTTTTTGGGAAATACTATTGTTTTTACAACTTGCAACAAACCCCTAAATGCTAAATGAGGGAAGCCTGGCATTTTGCTAGTTGCAGTGTATTATCCTGCATTCTATGCTGCAATGAGACTTTGTGTAGCAGGGTATTTCCAAGACTGGACAATGAGTTTCATGAGGGAGAGATTCTGAGGCCCTCAACCTCTAGTGCTCAGTTACATTATGTAGTGATGCCTGAAAGCAGCTCACCTGGTCAGTAGTCCTACGTCCTATGCATCCTTGCTGTATTGTGAGCTTTAGCATTTGCTGTACTGCATTGTCACTGTGACAACGAACACTCACTGTACTTTACTGTAAGCCCGAGCACCTGCTGTACTGTGTCTAAGCCTGGGCAGCCACTGGGAGCTGGATTAAGGGTGCAAAGTCCTCTACAGCAGCTAACAGTCCAGATGTGGTTTGAAGCTGGGTCTGAGGGGTGAAAGCCCTTTAAGTGTGTCCTTACCCCTCTCAGACTCAGCCAGTGTGGCTGAGGTCAATGGATGTTGTGAGGTCAGGGTATCAAAGGATGTGGAGCAAAGATGGGTAAATGGAGTTGAGATACAGGTGCAGATAGAATGGCAGAACAGGCTTGAAAGGCTGAATGGCCTATATTCCTATGCCCAATCCACTGGGTAAATGAGCAGAGGGCAGGCTTTTCCCAGGGTTAGGGACATTGTGGCTTTCAGCCACCAACAGAGGGGCAGAGAGGGTGGGGAAGTGAGGCAAGGTCCTGAGTTAGCTGAATGGAGAGAGCGAGCAGAGGAGTGGGGTAGAAGCTCAGAATGGTGTGTAGGTGCAAGATACAATTTCACCCCCGCCGCCCCACCCCCACAACCAACAATATTATAGTTTACAAATAGAGTTCAAGAGAAGCAGTATTAGTTCTCCTCCACTGGCCCCCGAGGGTTTTAACTGCTCCTGATCCTAAATGTTTCCAAACATGAAAATAAGATGTTTTGAATCAAACGCCAAGAGACTGAATCACTTCCCCCTCCAACTCTTTCCAATGCTCCGATTCCCATCACCAACAAAAGTTTACACTGCACGTCATTAGGGAAAATAACAGACGCATATAGCTGTGACTGATGCCGATTTCAACCAAAGCCACATAAAGCATGTTTCTGAGTGCGCAGACTATGTAAACAGCCTTCCTATCCTGTTTTTGTCAAAGATAGTCAAACCTTTTTTTTAATTTTCTCAGACATCTACCCCAAATCACAGCTTAAATACTGCCAATCAGATCAAAACACCTAATGTTGCCTCATGTTTCTGTGTGTGGCTGTCAGATATTGTTCTTCAAAGTGTTATTTAACATTGGCATTCACCCTACCATCTGCTCACATCCCACTCCTCTACCTGCCCCCTTCGCTTAGGTGGCCTGGACCTTCTGCGCATACATTGACCCTTCGTTTCCACGGAATTTTGCAATGACCATGCGATGCACAGGCTTCACACTATCCAGGGTTTGCTGCATTCAAAAGTCTTTTCCATTTTTGAGACACATCCCCTCAGGCGTGTGAAAAGCTGCTGTCGTTGCTGTTTAATCCGTCTCACCGAGGTGGTCAAAATTGAAGAGCTACCTAACAGAAGCTGTTAATAGTGTCTCAGATTCATAAATGGCAACTTCTTCTGAAAACCGAAATGTGCAACACAAAAAAAAGGGAGTACTCCAGTACAACCATTTCCATTTGCCACACTCCATATCAATGTGTCAGCTTGGTCCAGTTGGTAGGATTTTTGTTTTGGAATTTGGTTATTCCTTTCGTCATCTGTT